AAGCCAAGAGATAGTCATTTACACAGAGCAAAGGGATACTGCATGGTTTAAAACTGGGAAAGGTGTGTGCCTTTTACCATATTTACTCAATCTGTATGCTGAGCAAATAATCCGAGAAGCTAAGCAGTAGAAAGATGTATGAACCACCTGCACTATTCAGATGACCATAGCATTGCTTGGTGAAAGTGAAGAAGGATCACTTACTGGCGAAGATCCAAGACTACAGCCTTCATTATGGATTACACTTCAATGTAAAATGGAAATCCTCACAATTGCAACAGTAAACAACATCATGATAAATGGAAAGAAGATTATAGTTGTCAAGGATTTCACTGGACGTGGAACCACAATCCACACATAGAATCACCAGTCAGGAAATCAAACGATGTATATTGCATTAGGCAAAGCAAGACCTCTTTAAAGTGTTGAGGAGCAAAGATGTCACTTCGAGGACTAAGGTGTACTGACCCTAGTCGTCATCTTTTCAATTGCTTCATGGGCATGGGAGTAATAGGACAATCAATAAGGAAGACCGCAGAAAAAAATTGATCCATTTGAATTGTGGTGTTGGTGAAAAATGTTAAATCTGCCATAAACTGCAAGAGGAACCAATCAATCTGTTTCGGAGGAGGTACACACAGAATGCTCCTTAGAAGTGAGAATGGACAGACTTCTTCTCTTGTACATTGGTCATATTATAAGGAGGGACCAGCCTCTGTAGAAGGATATCATGCTTGGTAAATTAGAAGGTAAGGGAAAAAAGGAAAGACCATAATGAGGTGGTTTGACACAGTGGTTACAACAGTGGGCTCAATCATAGCAACGATTGTGAGGATGGCATAGGATAAGAAAGTGTTTCTTTCTGTGGTACTTAGGGCCACTATGAGTCTGAAAGGCCTCGAGGTACCAAATAGCAAGTAGAAATGAAGTGGCTAGGTTATATGGTAGATGTATGTTTAGCTTTTAAAAGAAACTGCCATACTGTTTTCCAAAATGATTGTACCGTTTTATACTCTCACCATCATATGTGAGAATTCCAATTATTACATATCCTCACCAACAACTGATAGGTCAGATTTTATATTCTTAAATTGCTAAATAACCTATTTGCTAATTTCCTCACCAATACCAAAAAAAAAAAAAAAAAACATGGTTTCAGAAATAAATGTATAGTTTTAAGCTTTCTATTAGGTCTGTGATTCATTTTGAGATAACTTATATAGGGTATGAACTGTGCATACAAGCTCCATTATTTTTTAATACGAATATCTGATTATTCCACCACCATTGTTAAAAAGACTATCTTTTCTCCACTAAATTATTTTTGCACCTTTGTGTGTGTGTGTGTAAACCCACACACTGTTTCTGGTCTCTCTATTCTGTTGCATTGATTTATTTATCCATCTTGATGCCAATATAACATTTAATATAATGTTTTTAAAGTCATGGAATGCAAGTCTTTCACCATATCTGAAGTCAGATATTTATTGCCTTGTATCTCTCAAAAGTCTTTGACCTCACCAAACTGATGCCACTCAGACATGGGGAATATTTCCTCTTGTGTATCTTACCAGAGGGGTAGCTTTCAGCCCTATGCCACTGAAGGAATATAGCATTTTCTATACTAAGATTGGTTGGGAGCTCTGGTGGTATAGCACTTAAAGCATTTGACAGCTAACCAGTAGGCCAGTGGTTCAGAATCAGCAACCACTCCTTGGAAGGAAGACTGGGCAATCTACTTCCATAGAGATACCACCTCAGAAACCCAAGGAGGGTTCACTATGAGTTGAATCAACTCAACAGCAGTGAGCTTGGTTTAGTTTTAAAGCAAAGAAAAAGAAGAATCCATTTTGGATTCTTGCATCTGTTGTCTTTCTTATGTGTTACACTGTTTGAGTTGTTTATTTCTAATCTACTTTGGTTCTGTACATGTTTTAGTTTTTATTGTGTGGGAATTTTTTATGTTTAAAACACAACTGTTTAACTGAATAGTAAGTGTAAAATATTGCATAGATAAAATAGTTTTGATTGCAGAAAAAATGTACTAAGTGCAGTAAGACATTTTAAATTTTCACCTATGAACAGTCAATTAATATGTTTGATTTTTTTCCTTCTGCCTCATAGCTTCTGTGATATAGAGATTAATGATTTTCATTTGTTAAGTCATTTTTACTTGCTTAATAAACCTTGATTTATGATTTTAATGAAAAATTCTTTAATATTATTTATGCAAAATCAGATGTACAGCTGCTATGGCCAAAATGTATCTGTTAAGAAAAAATTGCAATCTAATAAAGTAACTAGCATTGTATATTTTTAACAGGAATTTTGAACCAAAACTAAGAACAAAATCCATATTTATTAAAAAAAAAATAAAATAAATAAATATGTGATGTTTATGTAATAGTTTTTCTATTGATATTTAGGCAAGTCAAACTTTCATACTAATTTGTTAAATTTTCACTTTATTTATATGCCCTTCAAAATCGGTGTTACCCAATCTGTCTGTCAAATCATGAAACAGTTTAATAGTGAAAGTAGAAGCATCTGTCCAAGGATTATAATAGATTTCTTCAGAAGAAAAGGACTTTTTCTCCTGTCAACATTTCTGTAAGCTGAGAAAGGAGTTTGGATTGTTTTGTTTTTGTTGTTTTTCTTCTTAAATGATCCATACTACTAAAATTGAATGAACTTAAAATTTCACAAGGTAGATCATAATCCTTTATTTTTATAAAAAAAATTTATGGAAAAAAGTAGTTATCTCTATGATACTGTGTGTTATTTTGTGGCTCTTTTGTTGATACCTATATTTGCAGGTAAGACTGCCCGTCTTTCAGGGCTGACCCAGATATATTTAAGTGTTATCACAATAAAGCTCCAAAATCTACCTGTTTCATACAATCTGTCTAATAGATTAGGTTTTAATACTGCTTTTCTTGAATCTGAGGCAATTTGACATTTATACTGCTCTCAGCCTGCTTTCTAAATGGGTCGTCTCTGGGTTTAGCTTTGAATGGCTGTATACTCTTGTCTGAGTTTATCTATGTTCTGTCTCTTCATTTAGAGACATACAAATCGTTTGCAGTAAATCAAATCTTCATGTGATTTTAATCATACCCATGTAGAGATAGACTTACACCCCTGTAACATTCAGTTTTAATTAATGCCTGGCTTGACATCCCATATTAACTTTCATTGCTGAAACAGCAGCATGTTCTGTCCCATTTCCTTGAACTGGAATATTAGATTCCCAAAAGATTCTTGAAGTATTAAAACTCTCTTGGATTTTAATTTCTTGACTTTGTTTTGGGCTTACTGACAAGACTTGATCTCCAGGACAAAATGCTTCTAATTAAGTAGTTATCATCTTGGTGGGTCCAGAGTCATCTCTTCTAACAGCAGAAATACCATAGGTTCTGGGAGTAAACTCTGGCCCATAAGGACAGAGGATGCCTCTTAAAAAGGAGCTTTGGTGGCAGAGTGGTTAAGGATTCAGCTATTAACTAAAATGTTGGTGGTTCAAGGCCACCAGCCAATGCATGGAAGAAAGATGAGGCAGTCTGCTTTCATAAAGATTTATAGCCTTGGAAACCCTGTGGGGCAATTCTACTATGTCTTACAAGGTAGCTGTGAGTTGGAATCTCCTTGATGGCAGATGGGTTTAGTTTTTGGTTTTATGCCTCTTACAGAGAAGGAGATACTATAACTTAATGTCCAAATAAGAGCACTTCTGAGATTAGAAGGAGCATTTTTAGTACTAATTACATGCAAGCATCAGGTTAGTAAGGCTAGATACCTTACTTAATGCCTCAGTGGTCCAGATTTAAAGCTTACCAGAATTGATCTAGAGTTCTGACATAAAGACCAAGGAAACTGTCCCATTTTCAAATGCTCTTTTATTTTTTGAAATGATCATTTAATACCTCTTAGGGAACCACCTGGGAGCTCTGGTGACATAGTGCCTAAGGCATATGACTGCTAACCAGAAGGCTGGCAGTTCAAATCCACCAGCCACTCCTCGGAATGAAGATTGGGGAATCTATTTCCATAAAGATACCTCCTCGGAAACCCATGAAGGGTTCACTATGAGTCGAATTGACTTGGTGGTAGTGAGTTTGTTTTTTTCAGGGAACTAATCAAAGCTTAGAAATAATCATATATACATTTACTTACAATATATACCATTTTTTGTGAGTATGTTGATAATTTTTATTTATATTAGGGAAAAAGTTAAAAGCAATAAATTATATATTCTTAATTTAGAACATTTGTCTATTTCATTCACTGTAGCCATTACTGCATCTGATAACCTGCAGAAATTACTTACATTTAATAAAATAGAATAAACTTAGTTTCTCTTTAATTGATTTTAATGGATATTATTCTTTTGGTTGGATAAAGATTTTTTACCAGTAACTTTGTAAGTAATCCCACATAGAATGGATTTTAAATAATAATCAATTGCCAAGGACATAAAAGAACAAAGAGAGTGTTTAATAAATATAGCTCATAGGGATTTGAGAAAGAATAATTTTTGACAGTTACAGTTACATAAGTCTTCATAGTAAGCACAATTGCTTTAACTTGAATTCTTGTTGACTTTACAGTTTAAACCTATAGTTTAAGTCTGTTTTAAAAAATATATGTTGTGCCCAGATTTCTGTGAAGGTGTATTTGTTTTATTTTTAAATGCCCAGTCATTGATTTCACATAGGAGCTCTGGTGGCATAGTGCCTAAGGCACTTCACTGCTAACCAGAAGGCTGGTGGTTGAAACCCACCAGCCACTCCTTGGAAGGAAGGTTGGGCAATCTACTTGCATAGAGATACTGCCTCAGAAACCCAAGGAGGGTTCTCTATGAGTCGAGTCCGACTCGATGGCACATAACAACAACAACAACACATTGATTTCACAGAGCTTTGGGGAAATTTATCCTAATGGGAATAATTACTATGTGAGCTCAAAATAATAGCGTGTCCTTTCTTTCTTTTTTTTTAAAGCTGGACCTGTGATCTGCAGAATGCTGAGTTATCCCCCAACTCGTCGAGCTTTAATTGTGGGTTGTGGCCTACAAATGTTCCAACAGCTCTCAGGCATTAACACCATCATGTATGTATTTCTTTCTGACTTTTACTGAAAAAAAAATGTGAAGGGGTTATTTTACATGGAAAAAAAAAAAAACAGGACTCTTGGTGATTTTTTGTTATTAAAAGTGTAGGATTCTTTTGAGATGTACTAACTCATTTTTTAAAAATCTTGTCAGTTTGTAACTGGAAAGGTATTTATATTGTAATTACTGACTGTATTAACTTCATGCAATTTTTGTTTTATGCCATCTAATGTTTCTGTACTGTGAGGTAATACATCATTTTCATAAACCATTTCTGGATGCTGGTTGAAAATTAAAATAAAAGGGAATCAACTGTCATTGTCACCTTATGGGCACACAGATACCTAGTTCATTTCCTTTTGGGGCAGTTACAATGCAATGTGATAAGGGCATTAATAGTAGTATGTTTATGACAATGAGAGCACAGTGGTGGGGAGGAGATTGAGTAAGATAGTCAGGGAACACAGAAACGTCCCTCCTCATCTAGTTTTCAGAGTAATCCCCAAAGTAGTGTTTGTCTACTATAGATCTGGACCTACGCTGTTAGAGGGTAGAGTAGAGTGAATGGAAGGGACTCCTCTTTGTTACTCATTCAATAAGGGTCTATTATGTACAAGATATACAGAAGTAAATAATGTTAACATGGTCCCTGGCCTCACAGAATATATAGAGTGGTGAGAGAAATACATTAAATAAATTCACAGTTCAGTATGTAATTTCAAGTTGTGATAAGGGCTATACAGGACTAATCCTAGTTCTCTCCAGAATAGACTTAAGATTCTAGGTGAAATTCATGAGTTTTTCTGAGAAACTGGCTGTGGGATAAAAAACTGGTAAGTCTTAGAAGTTTTTTTCCTTCCCTGTTAGTTAAAATTATTCTTTACAAAACTGTGAATTCTGTAAGTTAAATTTTACCTGGTAAGCTACTTATATTTCACTCCAAAAATTATCTGGAGTATGATGAATTATTTTTAATTTGAGAAAAATGAATTGGTTAAAATGATGCTTTAAAATAGTGACTAGGACCTAATGACCCTAAGTAAGTAAGTGATAATTGTAAATAGAAGGAAAAATGATAAAAATTACACAGTACAAGCAAATACCTCCTTGCTCTAACAATCTTTAATGCTCTACTTTAAGTTCCTACAACCCTTTCAAAGTTCATATGAGTCTAGA